TACTGCTCCTTTTCCTGGTGTAACTACCGATCAGGTAGTTGTATATGCAACTATGATATCATTTCAAGCTAAAACGAAATTTAGAAATATATCGGAATCTCGAGGTGGCGTAAATGGTGATATTGAGAAATAAAGAAACGCACCCACCTCGCTGGCCATTAGCTAAGGTCACCGATATACAATAAGAACAACGATGGAGTGGTAAGAGAGGCGATAGTAAAGACAGAAAACGGAGAATTGAATAGAACTGCCCATAAATTATGTCCGTTAGGACACGAAGATTACCAAGATTACTGGGACTAAAGCCTCAATCGTACAAGAAATGAATAATACCTTAGCAGTGTATTTGGATCCTACATCCCACATTTATATGGCCTCGTCTTTATGGAAATTAAACCCTATTTGGATATGTTGGAGTTTGTAGAAAGATTGCTAAAACGCATCAAAAGAAATATGTCCAAGACTCCAAACATTTGAAGATCAATGCTGGTCAGTTGTAATACGTAAAATAAAGGCCAATAACCGTTTATTTATGAATGAAGATAGACATTAAAGAAGAGGAGCGCCATTGAAGTTCGTAGGCGCTTTTCAGCATTGGGCTTTCGGAGTGATGGACGAAGATCGCGCGGCAATGCGAAACTATGTGAATAACCTCTTGGCCAACAAGCATAACTTAAAAGAATTAGTCATATAGCAGACAACAGTAGTTGATTCTGCGATCAATCTGCTAAAAATGACAACGGAAGAAGTCCACTCGCACTGCAATTCCTTGAAAACCATCAAATATATTCGGAAATATATCAACATATGGCCATGTTTTCTATTGAAATCCAAGATGAACAAATGTAGTATTAAATTAGCATCAATGAATCTGTCTAGCAAATTTGGGGATTCCCTACATAGACATTTCACAGTTGGGCATTTGTCTGTACATTTCTTAAATTTACCGAAGTGTACGCATCAGAACCAGCCACACCATTAACTGCTTTATTTGATCTCTGCCGAGAAGACCTTTCAGTAGGACGTTTACTATAATACACCATAATTTGCATCCATTAAATGCCGAGATGCACGAATTATTCTACTGTCGATAAAACTGAACAGTTAATATTGTATTGCCTTATCAAAGAAGAGTTTCTAGAAAACACATATTTCTACATTTGTTTAAATTTAAATCCATACATTTTAATCTGCACCACATGGCATAACTATACAAGGTAGTCTCATTCAGACATATGATTCCAATTTTTTCATAATTTAACTTTTGACAACATTCAGCTTTCAAAATTTAAATGAGATAAACCTCCTTCAAAATGTTCGGAAAATATGTATTCAGTGGCAAAAATGGCTTAATTATTAATATTGTTTAATGTTTTGAAGTTTCCTGCCTATATAATCTGTAAATATAAGTTTAACAACCATAGCTATACCTTGAGAACAATGTGCATCAAGAAATTAAGATATTTACTGTTGACTAGTAGTCCAGATAGCAATATATCCATGTCCTTACATAGCATGCATATTTATGTACAATTATATAACGATTTGTCCATCATAATATATATTAAAGCTTTAGAAAATATAATTTTTTTTTTAAAAAAAATATGCCAATCGACATGCCTACCATTTTATGGAACTTATTTTTCATGTAATTTGAAATTGACAGACTGATTACAAATAAAAAAGTGTTGCCATACTATCTTCCATAATTATGCCATGTCTGCACCATTGAAAAAGGATATTTCAATCATTTTGGAGTAAATTGGCTTGTTTCTCAGAAATATGGGTAATGAATAAATTAACAATTTAGAATGTACTACAGAAGTTTGCAAGCCTGAAGGTACGTTAATCAATTTTTAAAAACATCTTTCAAACAAAACTAGATACAAATAAGATGACATCCTGTTCACTAAGTTTATACTGAAACCCATATAATTTAATTCATATGGTAAGATTTCAGGGTTAGCCCTATAAAAAGCTTTACTAAAGTCTGTATAAATGGTGTCAGTTCGATTTGCTGAAAGACCACTACGAAAGCCATGTTGATATGGATTTAAAATGTATTGTGTGAAATAACAACAGTAATTAATTTTTCAGACCATTTTGGAACATCACTTAATTGTGCAACGTGTGTATAAAACATTTCTTCCAATGAACATGGTATATTTGGACCTAGCAACAGAATAATTAGCGTAGTCTATAGAAGACCCAGATTTTTTAATTTAGATTTTTTATAATTGATAACTCATGCAAAATCAATGGATATGAATATCAGAATTTATTATTATTATATTTAGAACACATTCTGAAATAAATTTATTTAAACATGTAAAATGTAAAAATGTAAAATTTACAAACACTAAATCACGGATTTTATGATAAAAATTCAAAATATTATTTATTTGAAGAAGATTAATTTATATTAACAATATCAAATGTATATTGGTTTACATTAGCTATCAACGACGATAAACTTTCTGAACCTGGAAATGTGAGCCATTTTACAAATCACTAATAACTAATATTCTCTCGAAATAATTCATAACATTAATAAATGAGTTTATTGCTGAGTATAAATATCAAATTGTTATGAGTATTGTATATACGAGAAAGTGACGAATAATTTAAATTTACCCTACTCAGTTGATAAGCAGACAAATTCTATGTCAGAAAAACAATTTTATTCAATTAATTTATTGGAAAATATGGCATCAATTGCAATAATTACGCCGCCACATTTTTTTTCAATACGATATTTTCTAATATCTGATATTTTGAACACACAATTACACTGTTTAAAACCAAGTCTCAGTGAATACAAAAATACTTAATTCAATACCAATGTTAATAGTAAATAAACTAAATGGTTTTGTGTTTAATTTACATTCTGATAGCAAATGGTAAATAAGTCTAAGTTAAATGAAATAAATTATCTGAAATTCTTTATTAAACGCTCTAGGAGCATAATATTTCGATACCAAGTTTGGTAATATATCATTATGAACACATGTTTTAAATGATGAACTACTTTCAGAGTATGCCGATCGAAGCTTGCAGCATCTATGCAAGTAATTATCATAGATTTTTGATTTGATATAGTAATTTAAATCAATACCATTCCATGACATTGATAATGGCCATTGATGATGGTTCTTGCGTGGGTAGTCGGGAATTGCCATAGGCAGCCCCGGAAGACGCACTAGATATAGGAACTGACAACTCCTCTGTACTATGAGTAGATTTTTCAGTAGAAACAGAGGCTTTACGAATAGTTCCTGGTTCTTATCAACCAGGTTAGTTCATGTTCTCAAAACGACTTGACCGTAATATAAAATCCCTCTTCATGGATACAAGCTCCGATTGCAAGTCTTTTACAAAATCGGCTAAGAGTTTCCTACAGACAACACAGCACCAACGATCACCAACATTATCTCTAATATTATCAGCTACATTCGCGTTAATATAAGCACACTTAAGTTCTCGATATTGTTTTTATGTCTAGCTTTTTAATAATTAGCGTATTGCTTTTTTGAACTTTTTAATTAATAATGTTAAGAAACTTTAACATAAACGTTTAAAATTAGTAGTAGACCAAGCTGGCCTTCTATTAAAAATTACTTTTAGAACTGTAACTGACATTGTTTTAAGTTTATCTTCATGTTCTGCAAATAGAGAACATATAGATAATGCGAAAGAAAAACAAACCCGAAGTCAAGAATTCTGTTATTGCCATTTCTTGTATTATTTATTTGTAGTAAACATCGATCAAATATAGTGTCCCAAAAAGCATCCATACCAAGTCCTAAGCTTGTTTACGATTTAAATAAACATTTTTACGCTTTTTATTAAGACCTGTCACATTTTGGTATAGTATAGACAAAGGTTTTATTATTTTTTTGAGCAGTTACTGTGTTATAAAAAAAATTCCTTTACCCATACACCATCAGGCCAAAATGATCTATTCACTAAATCTTCAAATGAATTTGACGCTACAAAACTTTTATTTGTCGTTGATCCGATGATTTAAATCTAAAAATGTATTACTAACATTTTGTTATGTTTTAATTTTATTTATTTATATTTATTTATACCTATATATATATATATATAAAGAAAACTACCATAAACACTTCCCTCATTTGTTGTTCGCCGATTCCGACGTCCACAAATCTGCCGGCATCGATATTGTCACCGAAGTGGATCTTTATCCGAAGGTAATGACAGAGGAGATGAATTCACGCAGTGCCTTATCCACCGCTTAGAGTATCATATTCGGGTGGGCGGTTTATGGCTCTTGTTCAATGAGAAGAATAAATAAAATGAGGAACATTTTATTTATTCTGTTTTTCTTCCAAATTAATTCCCCGATAAATGAAGTTTCACATGCACTATTGTTTTTCTGCCTCATAAAAGGACACACTTTCCTTTTCAAATTTAGTATAAAGTGCCTCCTGAAATCAGTCTGTAAGCGCTTCATTTATGTATTAAGATTCATTCAATTTATTGTAAAAAGAGAGAGCGCAGGAACTAGTTTTATGGCCCATGTGACATGTTCCGAGAGTTTTTGAATTCCCATACTTTTTTAAATTCCCATGTTGTGCAAAATGGTGTGCTCAATTTCGAGCGAAAGCATAGCTGTGTTCAATATGTTACGAAATGTGTTCAATAAAAAACATATGTTTCATTGGAATTTGCAATTTGTTTACCAACAAAATTAAGAAAAAAAATGCCTGCCGGCTTATTAATTGCTTATTACACAAGGGTTCCATTTCCGAAAGCCTGCAGTTAGCAGCTACCTTAAGATTTCTGGCTGTTGGTGGGTTTCAGAGGGTAGTGACAAATGAAATATAAGTGTCGATCGCACAACAATGTGTAAAATATTGTGGAGAGTAATGAATATCCTGGAAGACAAAGTGTGTGCAGCGTGGATAAACATTAATTTGAGTGAAGATGAAATGAGGTTATCCAAATTGCATTTTTATGAAAATTTTGGCTTTCCTGGAGTTATAGGCTGTGTAGATGGAACACACATCCGAATAGTTCAACCACATGAAGACTCATCTTTATACTACAATAGAAAAGGATACTTCAGTATAAATGCAATGATTGTAAGGACAACAATGTAGATAATCGTAAAACTAATTTTTCTGTTTCTGTTTGGTGTGTGACTATAAAATGAGAATTCGAGTTGTGGACAGCTGCAGACCAGGATCCAGCCATGATGCTTTTATTTGGCAGATGAGTGCCGCTAGGCAGCATTACATTAACAAAAGAGCAAATGGTATGCACAATAGTTGGCTTCTAGGAGACAGTGGTTACGCTTTAGAACCATTTTTGATGACGCCCTATAAACAAGTGGAGCATGGATCTTGTCAACATCAATATAATAAAGTGCACACATCTGCCAGAAACATTATTGAAAGGACTATTGGAAATCTTAGAAGTAGATTTCGATGTTTACAAAGCAATGCCTTACATTACAGTCCCGAAAAGGTTGTGCAAATCGTTAACGTTTGCTGTGCGCTGCATAACATCCCCTTTGAAGAAGGATTTGTCCCTGAACCAGAAGTGGAGGAAAATTATCATAATCTGGAGGAAATGGATAGCAGAAATGAGAGTAGAGCCATAAGGAATAATATTGCGAGTTCAATAAGAAACACCAGCAGATTATAATTTTAAGTTAATTACATAAATTATTTTATTAAAAACACAAAAAAAAATCAGTCTTCAAATTCACTGAAGGTAATAAACGTAAAAAAAAACTTAAATGTAATCAGTGTTGCCAAAACTCTGTTGAGAAAAAATGCTAGATTTTGTTGAAAAAAATGCTAGAAAGTGCTAGAAAATTTAAAAAAGTGCCAGAAAAAGGTGCTAAAAATTAAATGAATAAAATTGTTAATATGTAATAATGAAATATTCATCAGAGACCCCATTTTTCTTAAAGGCTATTCTTTGTCGATTTAGCCATGTCCATTCGATTGAGGTCGCAATATTGAAAACAGAGCTTTGGAATTTTGCCCATATATTGCACTACTCCTAGGACATTTGGTATTGGAAATTAAATATATTGGTCTTTTTTGTGTATACCATACCCAATATTTGATTTTTTAAGGTTTTGGGCACATTTTCAACCTAATATGCGGTTTTGTATTTCGGATTCTCCCTGTGTAGAAAGTCTTCTTACTAAAAATTATCAACATTGGTCCACTTTTAAACGTAGCCCTCATAAACACGTTTTAAAATCGAATTGGCTTTAATTTGATATTTCAAATTGAGTAAAAAATCTCCTTATCAGAAATTATTAATATATGTACATATTTAGGGGTTGCTGGTTAACGGCAGCACCCCATTATCCCAAAGTAACTGTAATTTCGTATTTCGGGATTTTGGAGGTTAGCAAATCGAAGGATATAAAGGGACTTTGGTGCACTATTTACCTAAAATCGGCTATATCTAAATCTGAACCGATATTCATGAAATTTAACATAGATCTTTCTGAAATTTTGCAGTACCATATGCAAAATTTCAAGCCAATCGTAGGATATATAGGGACTTTGGTGCACCATTTACATAAAATCGCACGACAATTTATATGGGAGCTACATATATCGAAATCTGGACCGATTTTCTCGAAACTCACCACCCATCATTGCAAACTTAATTCAATACTCTATGCCAAATTTCGTGCAAATCGAAAGATATATAGGGACTTTGGTGCACCATTTACATTAAATCGGACGGAAATATATATGGGAGCTATATCTAAATCTTAACCGATTTTCACGAAATTTAACACACGTCTTTCTAGGCTTAATCACTATGCACAAATTTCGTGCAAATCGAAAGATATATAGGGCCTTACCTTAAATCGGACGAAAATATATATGAAATCTATATCTACATCTGAACCTATTTCCACAAATAAATGAGCTGTGCCAAATTTAATCCAATTCGAATCAAAAATGCGAGTTGTACTTTGTTTACAATTTAACATGGACAGACGGACGGACATGCATAAATCGGCTTAAAAAGTGATTCAATGCATATTCTCAAAATGAACCGTGTGTCTATCTCGTTTCCTTTTGCCTGTTACAAACATATGCACAAATAAATAAAATAGTGTGGTGAAGGGTATAAAAATATATGTTTGCCGACATTTTTCTATTTTGGTCCTGTTCGGTACTCTTAAGTGGTTTTAACTTGGCATTCAGGATGGCCGGTGCATTAAAAAACTTATTTTCAGAAAATTTCAATGGACCGCTTTATTTGGTTTTTTCAAATAAACAATCTACTAGCAGACAATGTCATAGTCACCATATGAACTACCTGCTTACAAATCTACTGTCACTTTTTTAACATTGGAAAATCAAATTCAACGCGTGAAACATAGGGAAATTTCAATGCGTCAATATGAAATCGAAAAACGGGAAAATTTGTTGGGATGAAACAAAAATTATAAAAAATTACTGAAAAATAAAAAAATGCTAAAAAAAGTGCTAGGTGCTAGATAACTTTTTTTGGTGCTAAACGAGTTTAAAAAGTGCTAAATCTAGCACTAAAAGTGCTAAATTGGCAACACTGAATGTAATTCATGTGTATATAAAATGTTACATACTTTTAAAAAAGTACACAGAGATCATTTGAAACATTGGATAGCTGCACAGATGTTAAAAATGGTCTGAGCTTGTTGTCATATCAAGTTTAAGCTGCTCCAGCTCCAGAAATTTGAGCTTTATTTCATTTTTGGTTGCTAAACTTCGCTCAATTTGTATGTTATGCCTCTTCAATTCTTGAATTTCTTCTTTTTTAATGCAACGAATATCCGATAGAATAGTGTCAGTGCTTTTAAAATGCTTCTGATCTTCTTCCTTGCATTTGACGATTTCAGCAAGCTTATTTCCAATATTTTTTAACAGCTTATTCTCTTCTTCTACGACTGCAGTTAAATCAGAGGCATTTTGTGGACGCTTGGAGTTTGAAGGTCGCGAGGGCGAAGACTGAACAATCTCTTCGAATATTTCGCTTACATCAGCCTCATTCCTAGCTCGTTTGGAGGTCGATGGCCGTGGAGACATTAAGGACGAGGAAGATTGTGGAGATGCTGGTTCTGTAGAGAAATTGACATTTTCTTTATCCACGTCACAGGTTATTTTTGTAGTCCCGAAACTTTTGGTGTTTTTAATCCCATCTGGTCCTGGTTGTTTCGCATAAAATTTAGAAAAATGTTATCCTGTGTACTGTTCTTGTGTTTCCCCCTATAGGTAAAATTAATATATATGTAAAGTTATTGAGAAATTTAACTAAAACAAACCGGAATGGAGCACACCAAATTTGGGAAAATGTTTCACATTCGAGCAAACTCGAAATGCAGCACATGGGTGTATATTAGTTTCTTTAGATACTACAGCTACTGCAAGGGACCGGTAATGTTAACGCCAAGTTTAACTGTGCTGGACATATTCCCCAATATTCGGTATTTTGTGTCAGTACCAATCGATTGGCATATTTTCAATAATTTTAACAAAATATATTTTTTTACGCTGAACATTGCTCTCAAGATTTAACCATGGTTGTTACTACATATATTTACAATTTTTAGAAGCAGCGAACTTCAAAATATTTATAACTATAAATGATTTAGCCATTTTGGCCACTGAACACATGATATGTGTACATTTCGAAGGAAGATATTTTCATTTAAATTTTGAAAGGTAAATTTCTGAAAAAATTGGAAACATATGACTGCATGATACTACATTTTATAATTACTGAAATTTTGAACTTCGTTATAAAAGAAATTTAGCTCGACTGTATATCCAAAATTCTCAAATATTTTCTTAAATAATTATTATTTTGAATTTTACTGCTACCTATTACATCATACAAAACACTTGCACTTCAATGTTATACCTATTTCCACTACCTAATTCACTGGTGTATGGCGCCAGGATTTATTAGAATTGGACAATCTAGTTCACGGAGCGGATCGATATTTCTCGTTCTTTTATAGGAAGGAACTAGTTCCTTAATAAAGTTCCTTTGCTCCATTTAGTTCCGACTCCGAGACAGTTCATTAGAATATCTCTTTATTCGTTGATGAATGCAAATATGCAAATATATATGAATAGTCAAAACTAAAAGAAAAATGTAAATAAATTTAATTATTGACGTTTAATAAAAATTGGTAAATAACAACATTTTAATTGAAATTTGTGAAATGTAGAATAAAAATCCAAAATGTCCAGGTGTCAGTATCAATATTAAAAAAAAAAAAAATCAGTAACATTAACTTAACACATTTTTCAGATCGGTTCACAGAAATACACGAAATACCAAATTTTTCAATTATACCAGAACCGCTTTTTAAGAAACTCTATATGTGTTTTAGTCTTTTAGGCATCGGCCAATGTTTGGTTTTATTAGGATTGCATTCTTCGTCGTTATGGTGAAAATAATATTGTTCAGTTACTATTTTTCAAGCTTTGCCAGTGGCTGAAAAGATCAGTTCGCATGGAACGGACGATGCTGGAATATACAGTCGTCGCAGAGCTAGTACATAAACGCGGGGGTTTATATTCTTCCTTTCTTTCCACCAGTGTAATGGGTTCATTTTTCGACAGATGTACTCTTCATTGAGATATATGTTAAATTATCTAATAGCCGCTGCAGTATTGTTCTCGGGCATTGCTGTTTTGTTTAAATCATCATTGAAAAATTTCCAATAATCCGGCGTTACAATCAATTTCAGTATTATTTTCTTGCACTGCTGGGCTAATATTTTCAGTGTTCGATAATTTCACGCTACATATTTGTCCCTCGGGTTTTTAACAGCGACTTCATACGATGAATTAGTCTTAAAGGCCTTTCTTTTAAATCGAGGGTCCAAAATTACACTTTCAGTATAGAGTTTTTTTTCATAGTCTCCAAACCTCGATTTCATTGGACGACATACTGGCAATTGAATGTTCAATTATATTTGAAAGGACTAAAACTTTTGAGAGTGTTACAGACTATTCTGCCTATATCTCTATAGTCATTTGGTAAGATGGCTTCAATATCGGGATAAATTCCTTAATTATGTCCCAATCTTCAAATGGTATGGATAAAT